TTAAACTCTTGCAACAAATTTAATCGATTACTGTTACAAAAGACTTATTTTTATTTCTTGTTAACTTACAAAATATTTTTAGATTTGAGAAGCAGACATTACTTTGTTCTGTTTTTATTAGATATATCATCTATATTGAAATTAAATTTTTTCAAACACTAAATCTTATGAAATTATATTATAACTTTGTTTTATAATATAAATCTTCCGTTTAAAAATATACCATTGCAAATATGACGTACCACTTCATTTCGACATTCTTTCACCTTGAAAGTAACATAAATAGAAATTATTATTAAACTGAATAAGTCATATTTTAATTCTTTAATGCAAATTGTTTGCAATATAATTAAAATAAAATTTGCTATTGTCAGCTAAAGTTTTGAATTTTCACAAAACACAGGTAAGGATTTTAATTGAAAACAAAATATTTCTTATTATGTACTTTATTTTAAGAAGTCCTTTTTAAAATACACATAAATAAAAATAAATGCTTCCAAGTGGTATGTAAAACATGCATTTATGTAGATACATTTTGATTATTCAACATTGTAATTTGAATTTTCCATATGAAAATAGGATAGTTCAAATTAATCTTTAAATTTGTATCTGCTTTCACTCTTATATTGACAGCAGAAGAGTTCATTTGTGAAAATACAATTAATACTACTATTACTTTTTTAAATAAAAGTTCAATTGTTATATAATGTAGTAAAATAAATGGTGTTTTACCTTTAATATTATTAATTGTGAGAATAAAAATGAAACATTATTTGTATTGACATAATGCTCTCTTGTGCTGCTTTATTAGTACAGAAATTAGTGATTTTACAGAAATTTTAAGAAAATAGATAAATGTTATGTTTATAAGTTACTGACTATTAAATTTACTTAGTACATATACATACATCTGTATTCTAATGCATTCTTATCCTCCTTGTTTGGTTTATTCTGCTTCACTTAAATTGACAATATCTTAAATTAGATCAATACTTTCATGTCCTTCATTTCATCATTCCAGTTTGATTGTTTCCTTCTTTTAATATAAATGTTTATTAATTAGACGTGATTCGAATATAAATTTCAATAAAACATTGCATATACAAATAAAATCAGATTCATGGTGACTAGAATATTTTTACACTTCATACATCCATTCTTTATATATACTTATATGCAATAAGTATATATATTAATAAAGATTATAAGCATTACATTAAAAGTAACACTGAACTTTGGTTTGTAGCATTTATTATTGTTACTTTTTTCATCAAAAAGAAAGAAAAAAAAATGGAAAAAGTCGATATTAAATACTTTTCATTAAATGCACAAGTTGTAAGTAGTGTAATTCATCTTACCAACATGCGTAGATTCTCAGCTACATCATTAGTACAAACATTTATTAACTTTGATCCTATTTACTTAAAGAGATTATTATATATGTACATATAAAGAAACATTTGCACTGAATTAGCTGCCTGAATTTAACTTTTTTCTCACTTAAAATAAAGCTATGATTAATTATTATTACAGTAAATTGTAGGTATGTATGTCAGTTTAAATGTAGTATACAAGAAAAATTTCAGGTATAAGTAGTAAATTTTGGAGTAATAGAATAAAATTTTTATTTACATTTTAATACTGCAAAAAAGTTCTTCATATTAATCTTAAAAATTAAATATCATTTAAATACTATTTAAAAGATTGTGCTTTGTTTTATTCTTATTCTCAATTAATTTGTATTTGATAAACTTTATGTTCAGTAATAATAGTAAAATAAATGCACTACTTACAATAAATGCAAATGTTACATACAATTATTATATAACACACTGCTGGTATCTGTTCACTTTATATAATAAATGTATCATTTATGTACGTATGTACATAATATAAAAAATTCCTAGGCTTATATTTGTTGTAGAGCAATAATAATGTTTTGAATTGTGCTTTTTAAAGTATCAAAGAAACAATTGTTTTATACAGGAACTACAAAGTACTGTACGTTCTTAACTAAAACACGAATTTACAAGATATTTTGCAGCAAAAATACCGAAAATAAATTTGTTGTTCAAAACCATTGTTAGTATAACAAAGTGTAAAAAGCTTACTGCAAACATCTTACGACACACTCTATACTTCAATCACACGACTAATTATTTTAATAATAGATTGTGTACATACTGAAATATATAAAAGAAAAGAAAGAAGAAAAAGGTTATTATTTATAGTTAGTTTGATTGAAATTTAGAGCATGTTATTACTATGCTACAGTATGTACACTTAGCAAGCATTGTTAAGGCGTAAATATTAAGAAATTCCGTTAGCAGCCAATTTACAGATGGAGACAATTCTGAATGTTCGTCGACCAAATGGTTTATGGCAAGCAAACATTGAAAACTGAAGTCTGAGCCTATCATAAACCTGGACGAAAACCGTTAGCGAAAACTTTTCTCGCCTTTTAATTTTTTATACATCGAATTTGTACATCGAACAGACAAATCAAGCAGAACCACCGTACAAGAAACATCTTTCCGTCAAAGTAAAATAAACAATTCGTTTCAACTTAATGAATACTTTTTTTTTTTTTTTTCATTTCTCAGCTATTCACACAAAGCTAAGTCGGCGTGTAAGATACGCATACATTTTAAGTTACAATACGGAAAGATATGCATATGCACAAGCATTAATATGCCTCATTCTTAGTTCACCCTCACTTACACTAGGAATTTTTTTCCTTTTAAATATGATGACATATCACCAATTCGTTTGAAATTCACATTGAGTATAAATACAAATAAAGTATGATATTCAATATTCATTTTATAAATTTGAAAGCATATGGCACGCACGTCCTATCTTTCTATATTCTAAGCTTTTTTCCAAATATAAAAAATAGCATGTTCACAAGTGGTGGAATATTTGTTAGTCATCATCACACTATTTTTTTTTTATTGAGTCCTTTTATAGAGAGCATGTAATATCTATGAAAATAATGTTTTAATATTATAGATTAATGTAAACAAAGTATGTTACAATATAATAAGGACAAAATTCAGAATGATAAATTAAATGTAAGTGTGGATATGTAAGTAATTTCACGCATAAAAGAAAAAAATTACTTGTTCTGTACAATATATTCATTATTGTAAAATATGTTATTAATTTTTCTTTTTAATGTGACAATTAATATAAATTAATTTGATAAAAATAATAATGGAAGGTTAAAATGTCATGGTCACCTTTCAAAATAAATTGTGCTATGTTCTTGGTATTATAGACATACTTTGCACCATATGTTTGTCACTGGTATTATATTTTCTACATAATTCAATATATATTTTGATTATTTTTTTCACAATGTACTTCTCAATTATTACGAAAAATAATTTAGAGCCTTTAACTGTTGATCAAATTGCACCAGTGCAACAATCTGTAAAATTGTATCTGCCACATGCAACAACAGAAATACAATTTTAGACATAAAAACGTTTAATGTTTTGTAATAAAGTCTTTTCAGAGCATGATTACTCAGTACATAATCAAAATAAAATAAATATCAATATACCCATAAAACGGCATATTCTGTATTATGTAATCATAAGAAAAATGTTCAAATTCTAGACAATAAAGTGTGTCACATAAAAGCATTAAATTTATTATACACAAAACATGTATGAATATTTGTTGGCAGTATTTTATATGTAATATACTTTTCTGTTAATGTATAAAGAAATATTACAATCACAATATTTATCGAAAATTTTGAGATAAATATAAAATATTTCTTATTATGAGATTCTTCAATTCTTTCATATCTTTTTTCAACTTCTTTAATATGAAATTGTAATAAAATACATACCTATATTGTCTAGAACTGACATAAAAAATGCTCGCGTTATTGATTTGATTTTTCTTCGTTGCTATGGCACTGTATGTTTAAATAATTCTATAATGCTATTTTACATTTTATAAAAGTTGTTAGTATATTGATTGTTATACCTATCATATGTGTATACTAAATGAATGTTTTTACTATTATAGGTATAAAAATTTATAAGTCTGGCAGCTTTCATGTTCAAAGTTTTAAGACTCAATATTTTTAGCTACATGAAGTGCATGCAAATTTTTAATAATTTTTATTTGTTTAAATGCTGCAACTACTGATTCAAAATTATACTGGTATCATACTTTCTGGTTGTGTAAGTTCCTAATCTTATATTAATTTTACAGCTTGTACTAGAAATAACATGCTGTAAATTGTACTTTATTTATGATACAGTAAACTATAGCTGCCAGAGGAATTTATTAAAATGCATAGGTTGCTACCATCTTTTCAAAACATTCATATTTCATTTTTTTTCTTTGTGAGAAAATTAATTTCAGTCTGTCAGTTTATATGTGGTTTTACCTACATTGATTAGTTCTTGATTATTTACTGTTTATAACATAATGCATCTTCTCTGTCTGCGTTTTTGAGGTTCAGGTCTTAAAACAGCACGTACTGCTTCATCAAATACTTGCTTTAAACCACGTTGTGTTAGTGCAGAACATTCCATATATTTAACTGCACGAATCTATGGATTATATTTAAAATTATTAATTAGAAAAGTATAACAAAATATAAAATTAAGAATGTATAAATATATTATGTTTATTTTCTTATGCCTAAGTTTTATTCTGACCTTATTTGCCAATTTTTGTCCTTGTTCACGTTTTATAGCACTAAGACCTTGTTCAGCTAAGGCAGTAAGTGTCTCACGATCATCTCTTAAGTCTATTTTAGTTCCAACAAGTATCATTGGGGCATCTGGGCAGTGATGTTTTATCTCTGGATACCATTTACTGGTAACATTTTCAAAGGATGAAGGACTTGTTACTGAGAAACAAATCAGAAAAACATCAGTTTGTGGATACGAAAGTGGACGAAGCCTGTCATAATCTTCTTGACCTGCTGTATCCCAAAGCCCTAGGCTAACAGGTATTCCATCCACAACCATAGGTGCTGAATAATTATCAAACCTGTATAAAATGATGAAACCTATGTTTAAAAAATTAAATATTAAATGAGACTAAAATTATAAGACATCTTAAATACCATTCTAAAACATTTTTACATTTGTTTCAAGCATAGTAGAAAAGTATTTTAATGTTTAGTCTATTTTAAACACTATACAAATAACATTTCAAAAGATTCTAGGGTTTAATAGTGCTGCAAAAATATAATACAAAATGGATTACTTCCTGTAAGTAGTGGAAGGGTATCCAATACTGCTTTACTATTATTAGCTATCCCATTTCACTGCTCTTAGAAAGAAGTGAACAATAGAAAGTTATTATATGTATATTGAACTTAAAAATGCCAAAAATACAAGTAGTTTTTCTAAATAACTTTTAATTGAATTGTACTATGTCATAATAAATAACTGGAAGATGTTTTAGTTTATAGAAAGGCAATACTTACACTGTGGGAACATATTCTCCTGGAAAACTGTCTGTTGTATATGATATTAACATACATGTTTTTCCTACTGTTCCATCCCCTACCACAACACATTTGATTGGTCTACCTGAACTCATGTTTCCAAGACTGAAGTAATAAATAAATATTATTACTGCACTATAAATAACATTGAATCTTTTGTTTAAAAATAATATTGTTAAAACGTTCAAATAAACAATTACTTGTAAAAACAAATATTTTTACTTGATAATATCATAATCGTCAATTATGGCCTTACAATATTATAAAAAGTTATGGAACATATTTATATGAAAATAAATATTATTCATTGTGAATTATAACCAAAATATGCTTTTTGCAATATATACTGTTAAACCATGTAAGTGTACTTTGAAAGAACTGAATTATGCACGTTTTGAATTTAAAGGTTAACCACAAAGGTGTGCAGCTCTGCAATTGAAGGGCTTGCCCTTCAATTCCAATCTATTTGTTCATTTTGCAACTGGTAAACAAGGATAATCGATATCTTTTGATCACTCACCAAATATGAATAAACGTTTAAATAGAAAAAAAACCAATGTTTCAACGCGACTTCAATTGCGAATATATTGGACTTTCTTTAAAAAATTATAAAACCGGGTGCCATGGCGGTATTGCGGTTTTTGGGACTAAAACGGACGTAGTCTTCGCTTGGTGACAGATGTTCGACAATCCTCTTCCTTCCCCTTCTTCCCGAAACAATTATTCAGAAATGATGAATGGCGACATCTGTTGAATTAAAACATTTTTATAATGTTTTACCACAGACGAGGTATAAAATAGACCTATCACCTTATGGGACTTCGTAGTAACATTAAGAATGGTGACAAAGTAAACAGCAGAAATTTCTATCATTTTATAAATGAATACTCTTTTATAATTTATAAAATGTCATCGGTATAAAAACATCTGTATTTATATAAATACATTTTCAATAACACAGATTTTGCTGAACATTTAAAGTATACAACAGTAAATCAAACATTTAAACATTATTTACAATTGTTACGTCTTCTCGTCTTCCCATGAAGAACAAAAAAATGTAACTAGGCGAGGGCCAACCGGTCCGTGCCACGAAGCGTGAACGAACAAAGATTAGAAACTATTTCGTTCATGTGACCCGTATGTCCACGTATAACAAGATCTCCCTTTTGATTTACGCACGATGGTTTTTCTTTTTAGTAGGGAACTGACAAATGTCCACTGTTTTTTTTTTTAAGCATTCCCTTGCAGGATCAAAGAGGGCTGTGGATTCTTGGTCGGTAGGATATCAATCGTCGATAATGTTTCATCTGCAATGTAGAAGCACAGACGACGTACAGGATAGACCTAGCATCTTATGGGATTTTCTGTTCGGGGCTTTGGGGTTAAGAAGAGCCTTACCATTTTCATATCGCTCCCAACGTTACCGATTTAGCATAGAATAAGATTACAATAATATATTACAAATAAGAAAGTAACGTAATTGTTTATCAGTAGATGATTCATCACATGCGCGTGTTCTACTGTTTTCAAAAGATCGTGAACAGTTCTACCCACGCAATCCAATATACTTAGTCGTGCTCATTACGAAGGATATCTCGTCGAGGTATTTAGCAATACAGAAACGAGTTAAACGAGGAAAAAATTAGGGGTAGACAAAAATAGCGTTAGAGACATGAGTTAGACAAGGAAAGGAATATCCGTAGACAAGGATAGAAAATTTTAAAAGTGAAACTAATGCCATCTCGTGTTTGGTGACGCGAACTACGACTTTGTAACAGGAACACAGCATGTTACAGAGGTATTAGACAAGAAACGCACTAGTGTGCGATAAGGATAGAGAGAAAACGTTTCCTATTGGCTGGGGGCCGCCATAGCTTCACCTTCTGAAGGCGACATCATGTCGGACAGGGAAAAATTATTAATAACTCAATAATTACGATGATTTTGTGAACTTTTAGAATTGAAGAATGAAGTGTGGGCCTTCGGTAACTTTCACATATAGTTTTTAATGCACCAAACCTTTTTGATAATTAATTATTAACAATTTTAGTACGTGATGTCGGGAACGATACCGCATACGTTTACGGTTCTTCAATAATTTCATAGCATTCTAAATTGCCATCAACTAGCTGTATGCATCTGAAAGGCAACTCTCTTAGTTACATTCTCATATAATTTTTATTTGAGTGCTATCCTTGTTTCTTTCTATCGATTTCCTTGTCTTACTTATCGCCAAAATGCAGACCGAAATACAGATATGATAAAAGCATTAATTTTAACGTAATTTATAAATCAACCATGCATTTTTCTTTTATATGTGCAGTTTTAACTTAAGAAATGCTTTAATTTGCTTTCCAATTATATAATAAACGTGATGAAATAGAAAGCTGAAACTCTTACAATTAGTGGGTAACAGTTAAGGCCAGATTACGGACAGTTCGAGTTAGTATTTTACGAGCGCTCGAGAAGAGAACATCGCAAGAGCTTCCACCTCGACATTCTCACTCTCCTTACCCAATAATTGATTATTTAATATATTTTATCGTGTGTGCAGAATTTTGGACTCGTAAAGGCATGGTAAAAGCACCAGACAGTGAAGAAGGAAACATTTAGCAGTTGTCAGCAGCGTCTGGTCCAGAACAAAGCAAAAGAAGAGTAACTCCAAGAAATACACAAACAGGGTGCCCCATTTTAATTAATTCGTGCAATTATCCAAGGATTGAGAATAACATCGAGAGAATCGTCAGAAATAAAGTATTATCAGGTTGGTTGAGTTTTTAAATAGAAATTCAATGAATTTTTCGCTTTTAATATTAGTTATTGTAAATTAGAGCATAATTGCATGTAGTAAGCAGTTTGAAATTTGTATTTAGAATAAATTTTTTATTGTTTTAACGTTACTAGTAATGTACGTAGAGGGGTTATTTATAGGGGTGGAGAAATATGTTGAGAATGTATAATGACGTTTTGTTTGCGGTTGCAAATTGATCGAGGTGTGGGACACGGTTGCAGTAGCAGGAAAAGAACTTTTATATTGTTGAACGGTGGTTTTTAAGTAGCAAGATACTTTTATTTCACTGTTCATCTTTGAAACTTGAATGCACACATTGTTGCAGTCTCTATTCTCGAATGCAACATCGATGGAAGCACTATTTCGAATGCAAAACATTGTTGTACGTGTTACTTTTGAATGCAACGTTGCTTGAAGCGTTATATTTGAACGCAAACATTGTTGGAATCTCTATATCTGATTGCAACATTATTAGAAGCGCTATTTCGAACGCAAACATTATGACAACCACTACGCTTGAATGTAACATTGTTACAAGCGTTGTTCTCGCTTGTAACATCGTTAACTCGTATTATTTTCGTTATTATTATTCGTTCCCGAAAATTGCACATTGTTGCAAACGCGTAATCGGGTTTGCAACTTTGTTGCCGCGAATCGCTCCCGAAAATTGCACATTGTTGCAAATGCGTAATCGGGTTTGCAACTTTGTTGCCGCGAATCGCTCCCGAAAATTGCACATTGTTGCAAACGCGTAATCGGGGTTTGCAACTTTGTTGCCGAAAGCCGCTCCAGAAAATTGCACATTGTTGCAAACGCGCCGTTTTGCAACTTTGTTGCCGGAAGTCGCTCCCGAAAATCGCACATTGTTGCAAACGCGTTCTGAGTTTGCAACTTTGTTGCCGGAAGTCTCCCCCGAAAATCGCACATTGTTGCAAACGCGTTCTGAGTTTGCAACTTTGTTGCCGAAAGTCGCTCCCGAAAATTGCACATTGTGTCGCGCGCGCGATTCGCGAAAAAGGCACATTGTTGCAAAACGCGCTATCGGGGTTTGCAACTTTGTTGTCGCGAATCGTTCTCGAAAAACGCACATTGTTGCACAACGCGCCGTTTTGCAACATTGTGCATTTTTCGAGAACGCTTCGCGGCAACAATGTTGCAAGCACGATCTCCCCCTTTAAAAAAAGAAAAAGTACAAAGTTAAACAATACTGGTATATTGTTACCTTTTGTAATATACATTTTAAACAATAATTTTACAATAAATAACTGATTTATTCATAAATAACTTCATTTTTTCGTGTTTCCTGATTTTTTGTTTCCTTTCCTTGTATTTTATGGGGTGTGGAAGGTCCATCTGTAATTCATACGCAAAGAACATTAATTTTTCAATTTGCAATAAAAATTAGAAACAATTTCTAACTAATCTACCGCATGTAATTGTTAATTTAATGCGATCTTAATAAATTAAGATGTTTTATTAAGTTAAATCATGCAACAAATTTATTTAACACCTCCAATATTATAAACTACCATCTAAATTATTATTTAACAAGAAACACCAATTATTCGATAATTAAAGGACTTGAAAATAAAGAAGAAACTTTATTTCACTATCTACAGTATTAGTAATGTTAAAGCAATTAAAAATTTATTATAAGTATCAATTTTAAACTGTTTACTAGATGAAATTATGCTTTAAATTACAATAACTATTATTAGAAGCTGAAAATTCATTGAATTTCTATTTAAAAAATCAACTAACCTGTTATACTTCGTTCCTAAGAATGGTCTCGAACCTTCCACTTTGAACGCTGACGGCAGACTGAGCAGAACACACCCTCCAAGATTGAACTCTTCTAACGATAAACTGCGTAATTTTTAATATTTCTCCCGTTGAAATACCATTTTATTTCAAGTATGGAGTCTGTGACCATGTTTTCAAGTCCCGATAATAATTATTTGGAATAATTGTTGCTAAGACACTCCTCATTTGACTGTAAAATTGAAAAAATTCCAATTAATTTTGTTCTTACTTTAAATACCTTCTTAAGTGAGTTTTATATGAATCATTTTTGGAATAACGAATAGTTCAGGAGATAAAATGCGCGGAGTAATTAAATTAGGACACTGTACGTACATTTCTTGTATGTTGTTCTCCGTTTACTCTGTTCTGTACAAGAAGTTACTGACTACTGCTAAATTCTTTCTTCTCCACTGTCTGCTAAAGGTCCATATTTTATTCTTTAATACTAAAAGTTTACCAATTTATCATAAATAATGTGTGATTTATATGGGTAATTGCGCTAAAATGAAGAAGGTGGATTCTCATGAGAGTTGTAGAATATGGATCTCATGGCTGATACGCATAAGACACGGAGCATGAACGTCACACAATCTTTCCAAAAATATTATACAATATTTTCCTATTTATTAATTTAAACAGTTTCTGAAAATTTACCTTTATATATGGATCAACATTTAATATTTAATTTGATTGGTTATTGAAAAGAGGAACTAGTATAGCATGTACATTCTTCTTAACACTATATGTAAATTAGGATATTATGATTACAAAACACAGTGGTAAAGATTTCAAAAGTTTTGCATTATAAAAATGATAGATTTGATCTCAGCAAGAAATAACGTTTTTATATGGAGTGCAGAAGGTAATATTATCATCTTTTTAAATTGTGGTGTATAAATGTAAATGACTGGCTGAAGCTTAGACGGGATTATCGAATCATTGGTGAACTCATAGGTTGTCTTCCAAAAAAACCTAGACAAGATATATTTTCAGGTCTTCCATTACTTTTACTTCCAGAAGAAGTATCTCTTTTACTTGAAAAAAATGTTGCACGTCTGATACGATATCCCTGTCTTCAAAACCCACCATCTAATACCTTAAAGCAAACTTTTGAAGAATATAGAAATACATTATATATAGAACAAGAAAAATGCTTAAGGAAAGAAAGACAAAAACAGGTTAATAAAGCAATATTTTCTAATAACTATAACGATATTTTGTTAATGTTTTTTTAAGATAAATATCAGTGTAGGTGATTGGAATGATGGACAAAATTATAGAAGGAAAGAAACGAAAAATTCTTGGAATAGATACAAGAAAAAAAAAAGTAAGCAAACCATTAGATCCAAAAGTACAAGAAGCACTAAATAATATTGAAATAAATAGACAAGATTTATTAAACGAGGAAATGGCAAAATTACCTAAGTTAGATAAAAGTGATGCTCTGATTCAAACTCATACAGGTAAAGAAAAGATGATGGTAATGATAAATAAAATACATGAAACAAAATAATATAATACTAAAATCATATCTAAAAGATTTGTTTTAATTTTTTACATATTTGATAAAAATACATTTTTAGTATATCCATGGACAGATACAGCTGATGTGGAAATAATAGAATGGAAATATCCTTGCAATTATAAACAACAACTTCGTTATAAAACATATAAAGATCTGTGGGAGAAAGGGTATTATGTAACTAGTGGAGAAAAATTTGGAGGAGATTTTTTGGTGTATCCTGGTAATACAAAACATATCTTATTTAAATGTTGTTATTAGGCCTAGATAAAAATTTTAATTATTTGTTTTTTAAAATGTTTCTTTTATAGGAGAGCCTATTATGTTTCACTCTCAATTTATAATCTTATGTAAAGACAAAAGTGAAGAAATCCCAATAACTGAACTTTCAGCTCAATGTCGGATTGCTTGCCATGTTCGAAAGACGCAAGTATATGCATTCTTTTCTGCAAATCAAGATAATATAAAATACCAATCGTTTCAATGGGCTGAAAGTACTATGTTTGAATAATGTATTCAATAGAATTTTCAAAGAGAAAATTATTTTCTTTTTGACTGTTTATCTGTATTTTCAATTTACATAAAAAGAAATACAATCTAAAAATTTTATCTAAATAGTATCAATCAATACAAATCTATCATGTTGCGGTTCTGGAATAATATTAAAGTGTTTTTTATATATGACACTGTTTTCTCTGCCAGCATAATTCAATTTAGCCCAAGAACGAGCCATATTTGGATTAATTTTTTCACAAGTGACCATTACCTTTCCTTTTTCTAAAGCATATAATGTACCATTTTTACCAAAACCAACCTGGGAAATAAGCAAATAATTAGCACATATTTAAATAATAATATTTAATGTAACATGATTGTTCCATGCATAAATACGTATTTTAAAAAATACAATTGAACTCACATATAATCCTGGATGAAATCTAGGTCTAAGTTGTGTAGCTAACATTGTAGATGCCTGAACATAGTGTCCATCTTGCACTTTCCATCCTCTGTGCTTTGGTTTTAGATTAGTAGGTGAATTACGTGTACTACCACTGCTTCTCTTTGATGCATATCTTACAAATGCTATTAACAATTTGTTAATCTTTAAAATTAAATAAATACTACATGGATATAAAATATTTGATTCAAATAAATTTAGAATGCTTATCAATTTTTGTACTAGCAAAAAAATAATACTAATGATTGAAAACATATTAAATGTATGTGTATATTTTACAAACCTAAATTAGTAGTAGTAATGTTCACAAGAGATTTAGAATTTTGTAAGGTGCAACCAAATAAATGTGTTAAGAGTACCATGTCTGAAAAACAATTATTTGAGGTACAATAATGTTATTTATTTCTGTATTCAGATAGGTTATACTTCGTAATCATAAACTTTTTTAACTTTAAAAAAATAAAAAATTGTTTATCATTTACAATTCTATGTATAAAATGTTATGTCATATACAATAAACAATAAATATTCTTTATTAAACATTTACCTTTATCTTTAGTTTATCTATGACGCCCACAATACGCGATTCATGCGAACCTGACATGAGGTCCACACTTTGCGATTCTCATGTGAATTCTCTTTTTTAATTTTAGTGCATTTACCAGATACATATTTATAACGAACTAAATGTTACTTTATATTTAAATATAACTCGTACCTATTATAACATAGGATAAGGATCTTAGAGTAATATTAAATTGTAATTTGCATGTAGAAGTAATCAATATAGTATATGCGTGCGCAGCTACGCGCGTAACTCCATGGAAGCATCTAGAAAACTTAAATGTTATTCTCCTGTTCATTAATTGTCCATCAATTATTTTTTCATTATGTAAAATCGTCCACATACGCTTTCCGGGCACCAACACGCGATTATTCACGTTCTGACACTTAAATAATTCACACATTTGTTTCTTCGCGGAAAAACTACGAGATGTTACAATACCAATCTTTTCAGTTGCAAATAATTACCAACTCTTGCAAATGTTTACTTTGAAAGTAAAATTCGAAATTTAGTAACATTAGAATAAATTAATCATATATTATTAAGAACACCTTAAATGGTTTAATTATACATTCGAATCTATAATTTCAATGTTTAACAAAAGATCTATACTTTATATTATTTGAATGCGATATAATTGAGGATTTATTTATTTTCATTTATAAGCCATATTTAATGCTTACAGTGTTTTGTCATGTATAATATGTACTATAAATTAGACAACAAGGACTTTTCTAGAAGGTAACGAAAACGTTTTTTGTCCACAATTTCGTAACCAATTAAAAATAAGAACTCGATGATCTATCCAATGGAAAATTATATTAAACTTGCCCCTAAAAGGAAGTAAGAAGGATAGGCGTCGCTAGTCGTCATCAGTAGGAATCACACGCGGATTTCTTTACGAAAGTTTTGTCGGCAATCGAAAATTCGATCGTCGTTCAGTTGCAGTATTACACAAAAGTGAAAAAATTATTACAAAATGTCAACAGTAGCTAGTCCTTTGGCTGTTGGTGGTATCCGACAGTCTGGAGCTCCTGTACGGACACAGAATGGTACGTTGCTAGTAAGAACTTGGTTATGCTTCGATTTATTCGACGTTTAGTTAAATACGGATTTTTTGCAAACGATTTTCGTTTTGTCTTCGTTATACTTTTTAAGTTTTAATGCATATGATAATATTTATTATAATATGATTTGCAGTTGCAATGAAGTAAATAATTTTAGAATTACTTTATATGATATATGCAGCATTAAATATATAACATTGGACAAAATGCATAAGGGTTTATTAGTCTATAAAATATAAAACATTTTGAAAGGGGTGGCAACAATG